TGTCAGCCCGGATGGTCTCGATCTCCTGACCTCGTGATCCGCCCGTCTCGGCCTCCCAAAGTGCTGGGATTACAGGCTTGAGCCACCGCGCCCGGCCACATTTACAGTTATACAAGAAAAGACCCTACCAAAAATCCACCTTGCTTAGGGAAAGACACAGGATTATAAATGGCAACTATTTCTTCTACTTGCAAGTTAAAAATATTTTCTTGATCCAAAAAGACTAATAATCTATGGTTAAAATTTAAAAATGAGAAAAATGCAGGGTATATCAATTTTCACAAAATATGTGAGAGGTTCCTAGGTGCTGGAGCTAACTACAAAGATTAGAAGTTAGGTAGGAATGAAAGGGGTAGTTGCTGAGGCAAAATGTCTTGGGTCCTACCTACACTGTCTTTTTATAGGCTGTAGCATGAAATAGCCATGGGTTTTCATCCTGGCTGTGACACAAACTGGCTGTGTGATAGTGAGAAAGATACTTACATCCTTTGGAACTGTTTTGCATTACTAAAATATAAATTACAATATTTACATTAAAGTATTACTATGATTAATAAGTGAGATAAAGCCAGGCATGGTGGCTCATGCCTATAACCTCAGCACTTTGGAAGGCCAAGGATTGCTTGAGCCCAGGAGTTTGAGACTAGCCTGCGCAACATAGCAAGACCTCATCACTACTAAAAATAAAATAATAAAAATAAATGAGTGAGATAGCACATATGAAGTAGGCATTACAGTATAAATGGATTTGGTTCACTAGTTATAGCCCATTTTTAAATTGATTTTTTATTTCATTTACTTTTATAATTATATCTCTAGTAAGAGATACTGATTTTGAATTTCAAGTAATTACGTTATATAACCGAATGAATCTGAGCTCAGAAACTAATTTGATTTAAGTAAACATTAACTAAATAGCAGTGTAGTTGGTATCAGACATGGCATTGTATCTAAAGTTGGTTTGTAAATGACAGAGGCCTGGCAAAGGCCACCTTAGGTCATCCTATGTGCTGAAAACTGCTCCTTGCTGTATGTGATGCCATTGAAAAGAAGTCAATGTTCTGGTCATGCAACACCACACAACTCAATATCAGAGTCTGTCTGCCAAGTGGTCAAGCAGTCCCTAAGCAGCCCTGTGGTGGCTAACTAGTGCCATAAGGATCACCACTGCAATTGTTAGATTGGTTTGCTGCACATTCATAGAGTCAGCTAGTAAGAAGACAATGAGTTCAAATAGATCCAAATAGTTTACTACTTACAGACAGCACAAGCAAGATAAGCATTGTATCAGCTTTCTGTTTCCCTAGTCCCACAGTTTGACATTGAATCAGAGGCGCTCGGTAACAGTGCAGGTGGTGGGTCCTCTGCCATTGAGAAGTCCATAATCATACTTAAAGTCAGCAAACAATTTTATACCCAAAACTGTACCCTAAGGTGGGGCAACAAGGAACATCTTGTGCTCAACTACTATGAAGATGGATGAGTAATGATCTCATGTCAGCCTCCAGCAAGATAGGAGGCAAGTGAGAAAATTCCCTGTGGCAGGGTCACCAAGGCACCAAGGCTGAGCCATTCCCCTGGTGTCTGGCATAAAACAAAACACTATACGTATAGTGTTTACGAACATAACATTTCCAATACTGGTTCCACAATGGAGGGGATGCTTTCCCTGTCTGGGTCATTACAAAAGATTAATTCAATAAATATGGCTTGCCACTGGCTATACTTCAGGAAATTTCTGGAATGCTGGAAATGAAGAGACCAACAAAATGTGGTGCTTGCCATGGGTGATATCACATTCTCGTGGGACAGACATAAATAAACACAAAAGCAGTTGAAACACAAAGAATGAACAGGGGCAAGAGATCCAGCCAAAAATAAACATAAAAATTTTAAAAGAGACTGGGGGTGGCACACCCAAGGTGGCCGAATAGGAACAGCTCCAGCTTCCAGCTCCCAGCGCG